TCCCCCCCCCCCCCCCATTAACACTCACATCACCACCGAGGCTGCAGTGCAAGCCCTGGAAAAGTCTGGGACTCGACTCCAGGAGTCTGCAGCAGACGGGAGCTGCATTCGGGCACGCAAAGACTCAGGAACACACAGACCAGGATCAAAGGCAGAGGAACAGAGGGATTCATCCCAGAATGCCGGCCACGGATGAGGAGGAGCGGGCACTTGTGATCCCTCACATTTATACTAGGTCTGAAGCCTATGCAATGGAATACTTTGATCAGTTTTGGCCACTTATCAGATCTGACCTTCCCCAAAGGAGGGTTGCAGGTGTGATCCCCTTCCTCCCTTCTATTTCCATCACAGAATAAGGTGTCTTTCAGAACCAAGTGGTGGCCTCGGTTCTGCAAAACTCTCTTAGCTGTAACTGTAAACATCAAGCGTTATCAGTCCTACAAGACACAGACTGAGCAACATGCTGCTCATTTCAGCAAGTGCAGCTACTAAGAAGAGACTTCGCTGGAAGTCAAATTACAGGAAAGGAAATTGGTTCTGTCCTGGCTCAAACCAGGATAGTACCTTAGTTATTCCCAAAAGGAACCTTTTTCTCATGGTGTGGCTCAGACGGGCCCAAAGTTAAGTTCTGGGAAAATTCACAACCAGACGGAACGTCTGCAAAATGGTTTGGTTCAGAAACCAGCACACCTGAGGCACACGAGTCCCTTGGAGAACCTTCCCCCACACGGGGATGTCTCCCCGCGCCCTCCCCTCAGCCCCAGCCCGGCCCCGCCCGGCGCCCGCCCGCACTCCCGGCGCGACCCAGGCTGAGGCTGCAGGGCCGCTCGGGAGCGCTCGGAACCGCTCGGGAGCGCTCGGAACCGCTCGGGAGCACTCGGAACCGCCGGGAGCACCGTCCGGAGCCGCTCGGACCCGCTCGGAAGCGCTCGGGCCGTTGCCAGGGCCTGCGTTCCGCGTCCCTGTGTCTGGAACGCCCCAGGCCTTCCGCCGTCAGGGCGCGCTGCTCCCGTGGCTCTGCTCCCTCCTCCGCTGCTCATGGCAATGAAGGCGCTTTTGCTCCTGCTCCCGCAGCTGCTCAGCTGCTGCCTGCGCGGCTCGGGGGGCTCCTCTCCAGGGAGCGTACCAGAAGGGCTTTGCCACGAGTTCCTCGAGGAGCCAGAGTCGACAATGGCGCGGCAAAAAGCACAGGAGCACAGGTGGCTTTCCAGAAAAGCACCTGTTCTTCGCTGTCTGTGCGGATTCACAGGCCTAGAGTCCACGTCCCTATCTTGCGCTTAAAAAGGAAGCATGCTTTTTTCTTTGTTGCCGACGTGGAAGTAAACTGCCCGGGTGAAATGCCTCTCAAGCCCCTGTGGCAAATCTACCCTGTTCCAGACACAGAAACCATTCCAGACTGGAGCAAGCCAATGAACTTGCCTTTACTGTTTACAGAAGCGATGCACCTAACTGTTCCCGGCTATACTTTAGATTACGGGCTGTATCTGATTAATTTTACTGTCACCGCAACCCCAAATATGTCCGCACCGATTCTCATGGGCTCAGATAAAGTTTATGTTAAGATTGAGAGAAGCAATCTAGAAGCAAATATTGCAGGAGGCACGTTCCGCAGAGTCGGCTTTTCTGATAATTGGACTCTTGATGGCTCCGCATCCCTCGATCCTGATTCAGAGGAAGGACTCAAGGGAATCACATTTACTTGGTACTGCACTAAAGAGGTGTCAGACTATGAAACCATGCAACTCAGCCCTGGGAAGAAATGCCACGAGGCCCAGAGTGACTTGAAATGGTTAACACCCTCAGGCCCAGTTCAAGTGATGCCACCCGAGTCCCTCCCAGGAAACACCGTGTACTATTTCCGCCTCGTGATTGAGAAGGATGAAAGGAGCAGTTATGCTGACCAAACTGTAACAGTGCAGCCTGGCTCACCACTCCTTCTGGATGTGGTGTGCATTGAAAACTGTGGTAAAGCCCTCATTCCAACAGAGAGATTTATATTGTCTGGAAAATGCCTGAACTGTAGAGCACACAGTCACCCAGCCTTCTACTGGTCCCTTCTCTCAGATGACTTGACCGAAATTACCTTTGACTGGTCTTCCAGAACCTCCACAGGGAGGTTTGGGGCCTACCTGTCTATCCGTGCTCTCACCTTCACAAAGACTACACATGGATCCTACACGCTGCTGTTAAAAGTCACCACACGGGATGGCAGGTCCGCAACCTACAGACATGCATTTACGGGGACTTCACCTCCTAGGGCTGGCCGGTGTAGCATCAACCCAAAGAAGGGTACAGCCTTTCTGACAAAATTTGTGGTCCAGTGCAGTGGGTTTTCTGACAGCAATTTACCCCTGATGTATAAAGTGATTGTAGCTTCCAACGTGCCCAAAACCACCAAAGTAACTTCTGTGGAGGAAAATACATTTGGTGCCATTTTGTACTTCGATTACGAACCTAAAACTCCTCCGTCTTTTCTCCCAGCTGCAGCACCCTCTCAGAAGGACACCTTGACACTTTACGTTCAAGTCCACAACTCCCTTGGGGTCTTTACCCAAGTGACTTTATATGTCCATGTAAAGAACCCAGCTAAGGGTCGAGCACCAGCTGAAGTGCTCCGTCAGCTGCTGAGCTCTGTGAGTGGTTTAAACGCGCCAATGGCAACTTATCTCCAGAGTAAAGATTATTTTGGTGCAAGTTATCTGGGTTACTTGGCAGCCTCCATCTTAAACTACATTAAAGCTGAACCAACTCTCATGCACTCTAAGACTCAGCTTCGGGAAACCCTGATTGAAACAGCCCTGAATGTTTCCATGGAGAGCACAAGGGAAATCAACCAAGTAGTTGCCTCTCTTTCTCTGGTCACAGAGAAAGCTGCTGAATTGAACAGCAGATCACAAGACCTTGCCATTAAGAAACTGGCAGAAGCAACTAAACTGCTCAAAAATAATGAGCCCCATTGGTCTGAGGAAGCTGAAATTCAGAGCAGTGGAATATTAAGGTCCTTGTCCAACATCCTGAGAGCTGCTCTTCTGCCTCATGAGAATGTCAAAGCGAGTCGAGTTAAAGACGTTGTCTCCATCATGGAAAATGTCGTGGAGGGAGTTTTCCAGGGCAAAGTCCCGGGAGAAACAGACACTCATGTGGAAACTAAGAACTGGAATATCACGCTGAAGAAAGAAGAAAGCCGGAACATTGCAGATTCTTTCTCTACCAAAGACACCTGCAAGAACTGCTTTTATCCATCACTGAAGAAGGGGGGTGTTTCGGGAGTGCCCGAGGATGCCGTGATTTCCACTGCTGTTTATGAGTTTGACGAAAACCCCTTCCCTTGGTTATTAGGTTCCACGTCAGAAATCGGAACAACGGTCTTGGGGTTCAAAATGGCAGAGACCAAGGCCAATGGGGAGCTACAAGGGATCATGCCTGAAGGAGCAGAAATTACTATTGCTAGGAAAGACACGCAGTTTTCAACTTTTCAGCTAGCAATGGGACCCAATAAAAACCAAACTTCCACAACTGGAGAATTTACTGTAGAAGTCAACAGAAATGCCAAGCGCATGTACTTCCAGATCCTGACCAAATTAAAAGCTGCCTTCAAGGTGCTGATCTTTAAGGGCACCAACGTCACTCACACTCATCCCATAGCCTCCTTTGAAGCTTTTCACAACATGCCAACAGTTGCAAACAAAAATGAGACAGAGGTCAATGACTGTAACATTAAGACTCCCTACATTGTCTGTCTCCCAGAGACCGTGCTGACAGACGCAGCTCAAGGAATCACCACAGACACGTATAACATCTCCATTGTCCTGGAGGCACCCTCTGTCGTAAGGCATAAGACCAAGAAACTGGTGACCATTCATGTTTTTAGTGATCAGTGCGTGTTTCTGGATGGGATTGAAAGTACCTGGAGAGAAGACACATGCAGGCTTGGCTCCTTGACCGACTCACAGAGGGTCCACTGCGTTTGCGATATGAAGCAGACTGAGTTCAATGACACTGCCCCAGATGGATCCACGTTCAGCATCAGGTTCCTGGCAGCCAAAATACTTGTTACTCCCAGAAGAGTAGATCTGAGGAAAACCCTGACAGCACACATACATCAAAAACCAGTGACATGCTTAGCAAGAAAAAGGAAGTGGAATAACGGAAGCTTTTAAAAAATAAATTGTTTATTTATGAGCACTTATTTGAAACACGAGTATCAGAGAGTCCCGCTCTTTAGTACAAAATCTTTCCTCACTCATATGACGAGATGACCCATTTTTCTCCCATTTATTTTTCTGTTCTTGAGCTCCAAATGTTGCTGAGGTCTTCTCTAAGGCTGCCTATTGAGTACCCTGGGAAAAAAGGCCAGGCCCACTCGTTTTTGATGTTTAGCAGGTCAGAACACATGCCTGAGCCTTTGAAATACTGCTATTTCAAATAATTTTAGAGCATTACTAACCCCATGCCAGCCAGAGCTGGCACACACGGGAACTGGTGCCCATTTCACAGAGGTGAAGCACCAGGTGTAAGCTCGGGAGTTGGAGTAGAACTCTCGCCTCTGGCGGAGCACAGGCTGAGGTAGGAACAAAAATGGACTGAAAACACTGATAAATCCTTCCTACTCAGAGCATAAGGACTGAAAAAGACAGCACAAGGTAGCAGGTTGTAACCCAGCAATTTGAACATACAACTTCACAACACTGCTCTGCATTGGTATACAGAAGGTTTTCTTATCCTGTCCCTCGGAACTACAGATTCCCACTATATAGCCAGGGTGGTGGGAGGGGGCATTTAGTAGTAGTTTTCTGTCTTGTAAAACTGTCCCTGCACACTGGTCACTGTGTGACCTCTTGTAAGGAAACACTGTCCAAGTCAGCTGGGGAGACTGGCTGCCTAGGTCAAAGCCCTCATTTCTTATTAATAAAGATGGGGGCCGTCGCCACGCGTGCCGTGCGTCGCGCTGCTTTCCCCTTCGGTCCAGAAAAACACACGGGGCTTGTGGCAAAAAGGGAGCGTACCAGAAGGGCTTTGCCACGAGTTCCTCGAGGAGCCAGAGTCGACAATGGCGCGGCAAAAAGCACAGGAGCACAGGTGGCTTTCCAGAAAAGCACCTGTTCTTCGCTGTCTGTGCGGATTCACAGGCCTAGAGTCCACATCCCTATCTTGCGCTTAAAAAGGAAGCAAGCTTTTTTCTTCTTTGCTGATGTAGAAGTAAACTGCCCAGGTGAAATGCCTCTCAAGCCCCTGTGGCGAATCTACCCTGTTCCAAACACACAAACCATTCCAGACTGGAGCAAGCCAATGAACTTTTCTTTAATATTCAGTACAGATACAACGCACCTAACTGTTCCCGGCTATACTTTAGATTACGGGCTGTATCTGATTAATTTTACTGTCACCGCAACCCCAAATATGTCCGCACCGATTCTCATGGGCTCAGATAAAGTTTATGTTAAGATTGAGAGAAGTGATCTAGAAGCAAATATTGCAGGAGGCACGTTCCGCAGAGTCGGCTTTTCTGATAATTGGACTCTTGATGGCTCCGCATCCCTCGATCCTGATTCAGAGGAAGGACTCAAGGGAATCACATTTACTTGGTACTGCACTAAAGAGGTGTCAGACTATGAAACCATGCAACTCAGCCCTGGGAAGAAATGCCATGAGGCCCAGAGCGACTTGAAATGGTTAACACCCTCAGGCCCAGTTCAAGTGATGCCACCCGAGTCCCTCCCAGGAAACACCGTGTACTATTTCCGCCTCGTGATTGAGAAGGATGAAAGGAGCAGTTATGCTGACCAAACTGTAACAGTGCAGCCTGGCTCACCACTCCTTCTGGATGTGGTGTGCATTGAAAACTGTGGTAAAGCCCTCATTCCAACAGAGAGATTTATATTGTCTGGAAAATGCCT